TGGTTATAACGTTCGCATTCTGACTAAGGTTCGAATCACACCATGGTCGATTTATCAGAAAGGAGACATCCTGATGTTATGGAGGGGCCAATCCCAGCGTGCGGTACCTTGGAAAGTGACTGAAAACCATCCCACGAGTTAATCCAAGCCTTGTGAGTGAAATTTGGTAGACGGAACTCTTGTGGGCCATCGATAGCTGTGCTAGCGCGAAGTCACAAGTCATCGTGACCGATGGCTTGAGCTTGCTGGCTTTGTTCACATTGTTGATCACGCTAGATAACATGCTGATTCCAAGAAACTGTGACTAAGTTCTGCTCAGAATAGTTACAGTATAAACCACAGAGCAAGCGTCTGCAATAGGGATTGGCTAGTCGCCCTAGTAGATGAGTGTCCTCGAATACGAGTGGCCAGCTATTATATATATATATATATATATATATATATATATATATATATAATTATTTATTTAAAAATATGATTCAACTCGCGACATAAGAGGTCTCATGCTTCAAAACATGAGACCTCTTATGTCGCGAGTTGGAATCATATTTTAAATAAATAATTATATTTATGCTCTACTTTTATCGAGCACTATTTTTTTAAAATAATAACTAAAATACTAAGGAACTTTGGATTATTTACCTAACCAGTTCTTTCCTATTTTCTATATATTTTCACACACACACACACACACACACACACACACACACACACATATATATATATATATATATGTGTGTGTGTGTGTGTGTGTGTGTGTGTGTGTGGTAAGTTACCATTGATAATTTGATTTCAAAGAAACTGTTATTGATTAATTTTTTACGGCTCATCAACCCTTTTCGGGTTATTTAAATCCCATAAATATTTTCACATTGTAAAAGTTTTCTGGAGATAATGACGATTTTCACTGATATAAGTTCTACTAATTAACCCATAGCTGGAGGAAGAATAGGTGGATTCATACTTTTCCCAAGGCTATTTGCGAATAAGTGTATATAACGAATCTTATTGGAATTGGAACATGGCTCGCGGATTTCCAATTCTTAGCCGTTGTCCATTACACCATTCGCACACCCTAGCTTAAAATAACTGGTCTTCCCAAGCGGTCACCTATCTAGGTATTGACCAGGCTCCCTTCGGCGATCGTAACGAAACTGCTGTTTCAACCTGATATGACCATCAGCCAAAAAGAAAAAAAGAAATGAAATTTACGAACGAACTGAAGGAATGTGACCTCATGACGTCTTTCATATTCTTTCGCTCTGTTTATTTCATTTTCCGGCAGTCAGCTTCTTTGCATTTGCTTTCAATAAATGGAAACCATTCTTGATCATTAATATTGCGAAGCAGACCACTGTAATCACTGCTTGTTATAAAAACATATAAATCCCTCAAATTTTACAAGTTTTGTTAACAAACTAGGAATACATAAAAATCACTGCCGTTTTATTTTATTCATACTGTCGTCAGCTTTATTTCTTATCTAAGAATTTAATTTCTTCTATTCTGATTGCTTTCTTTATATTGATGTTGATGACTAAGTAAACCAATTCTTACATGGAAGAGACGAGGGCATTGAATGCATAGTTATGTTAGTTTTTTTTAAGCATTTCACCCCAAGGAAGGCGGAGTGCCACTGGCACGTAAGGGGTTACAGAGAGTGCGGTCAAGTGTAAAGAGGCGTAATAGGGGAAAGGTTGAAGAGGAAGACAGAGAATTAGATGAAGGCGTCTGAAGATGTCGATTGACATTGCATTTGAATAATTAAAGATTAGTGCTATCAGGGAAGCAAGTAAGAAGAAGGGAGTTCCACACAATGGGAAGAGCGAGACGTGAAGCTACTGGAGTAGAAGAGACGGTTACGTAATAGTTTCGACAGTGAAAGTGTGGGATTGAGATGCCAAACTAGTAGCACGCTTAAATTCATGTTGTTTGGGAACCAGCAAAAGTAGCTCGTCGGGGCAGTTACCGTGGATATTATTGTAGAAACGGCAGGGAAAGCGACGACACGTGTGTGAGAAAGTGACTGTAGAGGTGTTGCCAGATCATGAGAAAGAAGTTGATTTTATCGAGCCTTTTTCTCTTGTCGTTTGACTTCCTTTTCCCTTCTGGTGGCTTCGGTGTTTTTTGGTTCTGATGACGATAGAACATTGTCAGTTGTTACGGTTTGCGCATGCGTTTCAAAAGATTTAGGTCCCAGTAGCTTTCAATGTGGTTTTAAGTTGGTCTCTTTGTATCTTCAAAAGAAGTCAACTCCGAGGATTCATTCCTGAAGTGAGATCACTGAATAAGACTTGTCGTGGAAACCTTGATTCTTCCATTCTTGCTACATAAATATATCTTGTTACAATGTCAATGCTTTGAAAGATGGCTCTTTCCAGGAATTTGGTGTTGGTCAAATAGTAATTCCATTTGATGTTCAAGATTGAACGAAGCTTTTGCTGGCGAAAACGATCAAATGTTTGGATACCGCGACAATATGGAGTCCAGGTTTTGCAACCATATCACCAAGTTGTTGTTTATGCATGACAGTAACAGCAATAAACAAATAATCTTGCAGAAGATTGAAATAAAAAGAGAAAAAATCTGATTAGAAGAAACAGCTTAAATTGCGTGTTTTGGTAATTTACCCACGCACGCATGAACTCTCCTAGCTATAAATAGGAGCAGGAACTGCCTTTTGGTGAAGTTTCCGAGCATTCTTGCTGCAACACTCTCGTTTGTATGTTTGTATCACTGTTCCTGTTAATGTATTTGTTTAACTAAATTCCTCTCTTGTCTCTTTATTTCTGGCCCTAACAAGGCCACAGCATTGCGCTCCTTTTAAATATATAAAGCCATTTCATTTTTTTCCGAGTATTGAACTCCTCAAACTTTCGATCGATCCCTCCCTTACTTCGTCATGCGTATAATCTGAGTATACGATTCATACCAGGAAATACCAAATGGCCTTAATAGAATTTTATCTCAATAAGGAAATGTTCTACTAAGAGATGTAATGAGTATAGTATCTATTGAGATCACTTCAGATTATGCCAAAATAGATTTTGCATTCAATGTTACACTGGAGCATAAAAGAGGATGCGTGCGTCAACAGGTTGACCCGAAAAACGACTTCCTAGACACGATCAATGAATGTCAATGAATTCCTTCGTCCTAGGATAAAAAAGGTTGAACCAGCAACCATTAGATTTGGTTTGGTTTTGTTTCTTTTACGGCATATCTACCTCAACGGGTTATTTATTGCCGACAAAATTTTTATTTCCGGTAATATTTTTATCTTCAAAAATGTATAGCTGGTAATATCTTCTTTTTTTTCAAAAATGTATTGCTGGTAATTTTTTTTTTTACAATTTTTTTCTCGTATTAAAACCTATTTTTACACTTACATAGTGTTTTAACCCCAGTCTGGTGGCTAACTATTTACACATAGTTAGAACCCTAACAAGTGCTACCACGCAGGACAGAGCAACTTTTAGGTTATGCATGTAGAACAAAACAGATGACAGGTAGATATATAAGCGATTAACCAATGAAGGAAGAAAGAAAAGGTTTCTTACACCTTCTCGAGAAGAACCCACGTTCGGAGAAAAAAACGACAAAAAACACCCACACGCCCATATTATTTGAGGAAGATTAGAGTTGAATATTTCCATGCATGACTGATGTTACACTAGTTATTATTTTTATTTGGTCGAGTTAGTTTGAACATTCAAGAGTCTTATATGCCAACCATCATGGTCCTGCATCGGTAGGTCATCAGGGTGGCATCCTGTTTCATAACATAGTTGATCAATGTAAGTGGTTACTGGATGACCAACCCTTCTTGATCTATGGCTAAGAGTCCAGAGGCGTAGGTCACTGACGAGGTCTTGTTTTGCCCGCCAACATTGTCAAGCAAAACGCATTCTGCGTTCGCGTAAGATTGTAAAAATATCAGGTATGGATCCATAGAGATATGATTTAGTCGGATGTTGTAGCCCAGAGATTTCTGATATTTTCTGCGGGAATTGGAAAACGAGAGATTTTATTCTGAATATGTTAGATATAAGCCTAACCATTTTTATTTTTTTATTAATAGATGACTCAAGACAAAGACCAACGGCCACTCAAAGTAGAGGGTTTCCAATTATAGCTCTCATCATCCAAGTGTAGGTTTCATGAATCTTAGACTCCAGGGTTTTAGGTAATGTACACGCAGTGGTACTATACATTAACACCGTCTCTAGACTGGCGCGAAAGTACCTCAGCTTTAGGTTGTTTGGTAGATCAGATTTACAGATTATATACTTTTTATTCAAGGTGGCTCAGATTATAGCTATGCGAAGTTTCACATATTTTTTAGTAGAATTTATCTCACTTCCTAGGTATGTAAAAGATTCGGCAGATTTTATTGGTTCATATGAGACATTGAGCTTTGCTGGTTTCAACTATGAACTCAGTTTTAGAGATATTGACATAGAGTCCATCATAGTTGGCAATACTTTGTAAAAAATGTAGAAGTATAGCATTGTTAAGAGTGCCTGCATTGATAAATAGGTCATCTGCATAGTCAACATATTTAATATTTACGAATAAAGGAATCAATCCAATTTCCTTAGAAAATGGTGATAAGAATGGTTTCTGTTATGCCAAGCGGAACAATGAATTTCAGCCGCACTAGCTACACAGAAAATGGCACCGTGATATCACCTCTATTCCTGTCAATACACCGAGGAATTCCCAACATTGGGAAAATCTATAATCGCCCAGCTGATATACCACCTTTTAAGATTTTTCATTCTTTTCATGATGATCAATGGCAACTAACTGGATCGCATTCCAAATTGGGTTATAGATATTCTCTTCCCAGATCTGTCTAGTTTCCTAAGGGCTATGTCTTTCTATTCGTAGAGTTTTAATTTCAGGGGACCGCGCATATTCTCTGAACTTTAGCATATTTAAAATCGCTTTGTTAAACACTTCTCATGTAAAGTAGAGTTGGAAAATTCGAAAATGTAATGGCATATTACTTTATATTTATCTATGTCTTCAGATGCGTCTATCTACCTCTTTTTAGATACATCTATCTATCTATCTATCTATCTATCTCTTTTCAAATATGTCTCTCTTTTCAGATAAGCGTATCTCTTTTCATTCACATCTATGTATCTTTTTATCACTTTCAGATAAGTATCTCTTTTCCGATACGGCTATCTATCTATCTATCTATCTATCTATATATATATATATATATATATATATATATATATATATATATATATATATATATATATATACAGATACGTTTATCTATCTATCTATCTATCTATCTATCTATCTATCTCTTTTCAAATATGTCTTTCTCTTTTCAGATCCGCGTATCTCTTTTCATTCACATCTATGTATCTTTCTATCTATCCATCACTTTTCAGATAAGTTTATCTCTTTACAAATACATCTATCTATCTATCTATCTATCTATCTATCTATCTATTTTTAAATAGATCTATCTATCTAGTTTCAGATACGTTTATCTATCTATCTATCTATCTCTTTTCAGAAAAAGTCAATCTAATTATCTATTTTCAGATACCTCTATCTATCTATATATATATATATATATATATATATATATATATATATATATATATATATATATTTAAATAGATCTATCTATTTTCAGATACGTTTATCTATCTATCTATTTATCTATCTATTTTCAAATATGTATTTCTCTTTTCAGATCCGCGTATCTCTTTTCATTCACATCTATGTATCTTTCTATCTATCCATCACTTTTCAGATAAGTCTATCTCTTTACAAATACATCTATCTATCAATCTATCTATCTATTTTTAAATAGATCTATCTATCTATTTTCAGATACGTTTATCTATCTATCTACCCCTTTTCAGAAAAGTCTGTCTAATTATCTATTTTCAGATACCTCTATCTATCTATCTATCTATCTATCTATCTATCTATCTATCTATCGATTTATTTATTATACCATTCGTTGTAGTCTTATTATAATATTATGACTTGTTATTATACTATTTCTTATTGTTTAGAATTTTATAATAGGATTTTCTTGTATTATCTGCCGGAATCGGAAAACGAGAGATTTTATTCTGAATATGTTTGATATGAGCCTAACCATGTGTATTTTTTATTAATAGATGACCCAAGACAAAGCCCACCGGTCACTCAAAGTAGAGGCTTACTAAGTGAGATTGTAAAGAAGGATGAAGAGGAAGTAACAAAGTATTATAAGGACGAATAGATAGATAACGCTTGACCCCTGAACTTAGAGAGACCAAGAATTCTTTCAGGAGTTTGTTCCATAAATAAGTGTTCTAGGGGAATAATTTGTGTAAGTGGAACTTGCTTTTTATGAAAGGAACAGGAAAGGAATGTGGTTAGATTTCCACCCTGAATACGGACTGCCGGGTCCTAGCTGTGAAGATCCGAGCTAGATGCACGAAGGAATGTAACTCATTCAAATACCTGCCGTAGTATTAGCTATAGAGTAGTGAAAGGCTGGTAATAATTTGTCTGTGAGATAAGAGTTGCATACTGGCCGTGGCAGAGGCAGTTAGGTATTAGGTAGCGATACAATGAACCACCTTTTGCGATGGCACGAATGTTCAATGCAAGGAGCCTCTTTGAGGTTATGGCCACTCATTATGATTGAAGCAGGTTTAGTGTCCGCTCGCTAGGGTTAAAATGTTACGAATTTAGTTTTGGCTGTATTGAATGCTAGCAGCCTGTCTTTTCCCCAGTAAACTGTGAGAGTTAGATAAGAGGGGAGCGAATGGTGACGGATAAACTCTTATGGTGAATGAGTATATTGGAACGAATAAATGGGTTGTGAATCCAATTAGCTAGGTATAAGATAGCTATTGAGGACCAACCTTGACCAGTCTCCCCACTTTGTTCGGCCTTGTGTCACAATTACTGTATCAGTAATTTATCTTAGACAAGCAATGTTTTTACAAAGACTTATAATTTTTTTAAGATTTATATATTTTTATATTTGAAACATTTTTTAAATATAACTTGAAGAAGACAGACATACAATTGAAATATTGTTTAACATTGTCAAAGAATGTGTTTTTCTTTTTTTTTTTTTTCTTAAATTGCGCTTTTCTCTTTACTTCTATAATAATAATAATAATAATAATAATAATAATAATAATATTAATTTTTTCTTCATATATGTCCAATTTGTTATACTGCGTTTTCTTATATACTTGTATTGAAAAATTCCACCTAATCTTTCATATTTCTGACTCGAGGCTTTTCCTGTTTTTCTGGTTATACTATTAATTCCCTTGCTGTAAACTCAATATCTCAGATAACATTCAGTGTATTATTTTGGTTACTTATTCGTGTCTTCACCATTTATACTCGTCTCAAGCTAAAGTAAACTTTCAATGTGTGCTATAGTTTTGTCGAAGTTCCCACATATTGATACATCGCATTGATCGATCTTGTCTTGTTTCATACAAGGATGGAAAAAGTGAAGACGGGGAAGTTCCCACATATGACCCATTTAAGTTTCAATTCGCAAGGCTTTGGAAGTTAATGAAGGTCTCAACCATACAAGCCGTCATTGGTACACTGACAGAATAGACACATGGATAAAGAAAATTGGCATTGATTGTTCAGTGGAACTGTTGCAGGAAAGAAGTCTCTTAGCAAAGACAAGAATATTTTGGAAAATGGTGAACACTTTCGGTCTTAGAAAAATTGTAGGAAACCGAGGCTGCTACTTGTGAATCTGTTAACCATGTATTAATTACTCGATATTACGATCTTATCTGAGATAATAATAATACTAATAATAATAATAATAATAATAATAATGGTAATATTAGCCATTTCTTTGTAAGGAAACATTAGGCATTCATTGACCATGCAGCCAGTACAATTGTAGATTGAAATTTTAAAAAATAATTCTCGTCAAACAATTTTTCAGGAAAATAAGTTTTTTTCAAGTTCAGTAGCTATTATTATTCTTTCCAGTATTAATGGGTGGGAGGTCTTGCTTAACCTTTTATTTGAAGTACTTTTGTATGTTAATATCTGCATTATGTCATTAGTTTCACTTCCATTTACATCTGATGTCCATTTTAGATGCTCGTCCGATTGGAAGCCCTCTAGTGATATAGTTTCTATTACCTGACTACATTTCGTTGTTATTTATTCTGTAGGGCCAATCCACAAGTTTCGAAGAAGGATGGTCTTTGACAAAAACCCTAAGACTGTCAATATTCATCACTTACCGAATCCAAAAAAAAAAGATTTCTGTCTTTCCGAAACGTATTTGCGCGTCCGCGAATATAACGAACTTGAAACTGAACCCGGCTCTCCGATTAACAATTCCGAGCCAAACTGACAGCATCTGGTATTCCCAAGTGATCATCCATTGAAGTACTGATCAGGCTTAATGTCGCTTATCTTCGGTGACTGTACGTTCTCAAGTGGTGTTACCTTGTAAATAGATGGCAAAATAGACTTTCGAGAAGATAGTATAATGTATAAATTTACTAAGAGCTACAAAGGACTGTAAATTATGGAGAGCCATAATATCCAACTTCCTGAAGGGATAAGGTACATAGAAAAAAATCTTATTACGTGGATATAACAAACGCGCTCAAAGCTATATTTAACCATTGATCTTAGTAAGCAGTTGTGTACAGTTTTGATATTTCCGATTGAGTTTCGTGCCATGAATGACATCCATATGAAAGTCTCGAGAGAGCGAAGAGCATGACTCGACTTTTCAGGTTCATCTTTTGGTTAATAATTTTAATAATATCTGGGTGCTTTATTCTACTCCCACATTAATTTAAATATTGACATGATAGGGTTGGGAAATACCTCCATTATAACCATCTTTATGCAGTAAACGTGTATGAACACAAACAATCAGCATAAATAGAAGGTGAAAACGTAGTAGTGCTACGTAAGTACACCATACACACCGCCCTATAGAAAACCAGAGACTGTAGGCAATAATAAAAGAGTCTGTCAGGAGATAACTGATAACTGACATCCATCAAAACATGGCACGTGGAACTAGAACAGTCTACACCAGTGATCGAAATAAAGGGTTCAGTTCGAAATTCCAACCACCTGAAGAAGGCCAGAGCATACAACGGCCGAAACGTTGTGACAAATATGGCGACAAAGATGAGGACAATAGTCCGACTAATGTAAATACTGTACAATAATAAAAGACTTCACAAATATTAGCAATGAATACCGGACAATCTTCTCACAGATGAAGACACTAGAAGCAACAAAAATATAGTTCTACAGAAGGATGCTGAGAATATCATGGACTGAACGTGTGAAAAAGGGACGGGGTTTTAGAGATAAAATCAAAAAGGACACCGATACTTAACATCAGGCAGAAAAACTTCTATGGCACAGGAAAGAGGGTTTGGAAAATTTAACACTCGTAAGAAGGCCAGAGGGAGAGTAGCAAAAAGCGCATCACCTACCTTACGAGTTTTATCGATTTATTCTTTTTTACGGCTTATCAACCCTTTGCTGGCTATTTAAAACCAGAAAATATTTTTAGATTGTTAGAGGATTTCGAGGGATAAGGGTTTTAGTGAACCAAATCTTAGCAATTAACTCATAGGTTTGAGAGAAGAGGGGGATTCCGCATCCGTGAATATAACGACAGCAACGGGAATTTGAACTCGGCTCTCCGATTAAAAATTCCGAGCCACCCGCACATCCAACCTTACAGCACCTGGTATTCCCAAGTGACCATCAATCAAAGTACTGATCAGGGTTAACGTCGCCTATCTTCGCTGATTGTACGGGAACCTGTGTTTCAAATTCGTCTGGCCTTAAGCCTAACGATATTGTGTAAATGGATGGCAAAATAGACTTTCGAGAAGATAGTAAAATGTATAAATTAACTAAGAGCTACAAACGACTGGAAATTGTGGAGAGCCATAATCTCCAACTTCCTGGAGGGATACGACATATAGAAAAATGTTATTGCATGTACATAACCAACTCGATTGTTAAAAAAAAACAAAAAACATCTCAGCAAAAGAATTTGAAAAACTTGCAAAAGATATGAACATGAAGATAGAGATTGTGAGAAGGTGACATTTAAACACAACAACGGTCCCAGTAATAATAGGAGTACTAGAAATAATTAAAAAAAGAATACTGATTACTCGTTCAGTAAATCGCAGGATAGTAATCGCTATCAGGCATGGTTATTTTAAATGGCCTATCTTCTGAAACACATGACACAAATGATCCTATTTCTCAACTCTTTCTCTCTCTCTCTCTCCCTCTCTCTCTCTCGCTTTTTCTTCGGTCCTACCCTCTTTCACCCTTATATCAACGACCTGACCAATAATACTCTCAGATCCTTAGCAAATATATATGCTTATGATACCACAGTGCATGAAAAATATCTTGATACCCAGTGTCTGTCAACATATATATATATATATATATATATATATATATATATATATATATATATATATATATATAATGACAAAACGGCTGTTCTGGTAATGAACACGTCAAAACGAATGAGACGTCACCAGCGTGAAGGCATGCAACTGAAACGTGCTTAATATCATGGTGACCTTGCTCATCTTGGAAATATCTGTTACTAATTGTATTAGTTACTAATTCCAAGATCAGGAAGGTCACCATCATGTTAAGCATTTTTCTTTTCTTAAATTGCGTCTTTTCTTAGCAGTTCAAAGATACTGGCGGAGTTACGTCAATCATTTTGTTTATTATTGTTATTATTATTATTATTATTATTATTGTTGTTGTTGCTGTTGTCGCTTTTTCTCTCTATTGACTATGAATGTCATCTCTAATTGAAAAAAAATATAAATGCACCAAAAATGGACAGGAATACGGGAAATAATGAGAAAATACAAGTAAATGAGTGATTCGAGCAGAAGCTTGAAAGAATGGAATCAAATTTACATTGTAAACACGTGTGAAATACGTCCTCTTTTCTATTACTTACT